GTCCAGCATGTGTGAGGTCCTAATCTGTGCCAGGCTCTGTTACATCCTAGACAGGGATTTTTCTAGCTCAGTCTTGACAACCATGGACTTTTCAGATGAAGATATCAAAATTTAGAAGGGTTAGGTTATTTTTCCAAGGTCCCAGGTACCTGGGATTTGAACCCATGCCTGCTGCCAGGGTGTGTGCTAGAGCTGATAGCTTTCTCCACCCTGGACTGGGAGTCTGCTGCTTCTAGCTGAGGACTGTGAGCAGCCAGGGCTGCAAAGGAGTCTCACCTGGGCCAGCAATCAAACTGGGAGGAAAAGGGGAGGGGCGGGGAGGGTTGCCTTTAGGGTTTCACTGTCAGCTTACCAAAGGACAAGAACTTCCAATGCTGCTGCAGGGTGACAATGTGGTAAAACAGGTTTGTGGAGGTTCTGGGAATAATAGGGAGTATTTTAAGTGGCGCTCTTGAGGTGGGGAAAGAGCAGCCTTAAACTATGCTTCCAAGCTTCTGGAACTGCATGCAGGTCAAATTAGGAATGTCTACGCTCACACTATTGCCCTGAATTGTCTCCGCTGCTCACTAAAAATTACTAAGGAGCAGAAAGCACAGCCCCTAGCTGGAACGAAGTTAGAATCTGGTTTGAAGGATATGATTGACATGTATATGTATGTAAATTACACACATAAAGGCACATAAAAAAGATATGAAAGTCAAAATTTTAAATTAAAAAAGAAAAACATTCCATACAATTTAGAATCTAATATAGGGCCATATTTGCAAATTCTCTTCTCCTCCCCCCCCCCGCCCAGAACTAGGGGTTGAATTTAAGGCAGTGGTTCTCAATCTTCCTAATGCTGTGACCCTTTAATACAGTTTCTCATGTTGTGGTGATTCCCCCACCATAAAATTATGTTCTTGCTACTTCTTCGGAAAAAGTCAATTGGGAAAACTATGAAGGCACACATGATTTTCATAACAGAAGACAGCTGATACATAACAAGCCAAATAATACCAAAAGCTCCTTGGAATTTGGCTTCCTCTGGAGGAATTCCCTGATCCCTCCAGGTAGTGACTTTGCCATAACCAGTTGAGTTCTCATGATATATTCCTGCAGCTGGCAGAATTCTTGCTACTTCATAACTATAATTTTGCTATACTTATGAATTGTAATGTAAATATCTGACATGCGGATGGTCTTAGGCGACTCCAAAGCATGACAACTGGTGACTTAGGCCTTGGGAATGCTAGGAAGCGCTCCCCATTGAGCTACCCCTCCGGCAGGTTATATTTCCTTTTGTTGCTGTTGTTGGATTTTGAGACAGGTCTTGCTATGTAGCCCAGCCTGGCGTTGAACTCTTCACCCTCCTGCCTCAACCCAGCAAGTGTTGGGATTGCAGGTGTGTGCCACCATCCTCAGCTCACACTGGCTCACCTCCTCTGTTGTGCTGGATTCCTGGAGGCTCCCTCAGGTGGTGAGAGGGCTTGTGGAAAAAGGGCAGGTAAAGGAGAACATGCTGGCACACGCCTTTGATCCCACCACCGGAAAGGCACAGGCAGGTGGATCTGTGAGTTCGAGGCCAGTCTGGTCTACACAATGAGTTCCAGGACAGTGAGAGGTATATAATAGAGAAACTCTTAATGAAGAGAAAGGGAAGGAGGAGGAGCAACAGTGGCAACCACTGCCCTCACCTAGGGGTTACATACATAACTATATGTCACATACATAACGCTTTGATCTATAGTTATGATAGGACTCACTGATATGTCCTGGGCAGGATATGGTACTCAATGAATGATGCAGATAGACTTGGGGGTAGGGGTGGATAATGAAATGGTATGGGTTGGGCTTGGGGTGGAAGAGAAAGCAAATGACTATCAGAGCAGCAGTCCATACAGGCACAGCCTCCTCAAGACTGGAAGTCTCTTGAAGCTAGGAATCCTGGTAACCTGCCTGGTGTTTCTGTGAGGGTTGCTAGGCTACCTGTGTAATGATTACCAAGGGAGCCTGTTAGGGAACATTATTTTAAGGTGTGTTACTTTGTTTATGCTGCATTTGTTTAATTCTGTGAAGCTGTGTTACTGTGCCTGTCTAAAACAAACTGATGGTCTAATAAAGAGCTGAATGGCCAATAGCGAGGCAGGAGACAGGATAGGCGGGGCTGGAAGGTATATAGAAGGAGAAATCTGGGAGGAGGGATCTAGGAGCCAGAGAAGGAGGAGGACTCCAGGGGCCAGTCACCCAGCTACACAGCAAGCCATGGAGAAAGAGTAAGATTTACAGAAGTAAGAGAATGGGAAAAGCCCAGAGGCAAAAGGTAGATGGGATCAAGTTAAGGAAAGCTGGCTAGAAACTAAGTCAAGCTAAGGCCGGGCATTCATAAGTAATAATAAGCCTCTGTGTGTGATTTATTTGGGAGCTAGGTGGCGCCCCCCAAAAAGAGTAAAAGCCCTCAACACCAGGAGCCACTAAATAGACTGAACACAACTTAGTTAAACAAGGAGTGGTAGCATACCCATCTAATTCTAGTTCTTGAGAGCCTGAGGCAGTAGGATGGCTATGAGTCTGATGCCAACCTGAGCTAAAGAATGAAACCCTATTTCAAAAAACAAAAACAAACAAACAACACCCCAAACATGACAAAAGTCTCTGTTACATGTGTCTAATTATAACAATAAGCTGATATTTGCTGAGCATTTAGTATACAACTCAGTTTCCTCATCTATACAATGGGGTTATAGCTAAAATCAAAACAAAAAACCCATTCCTTTGGGATTGCCACAAGGATCAGATGAACGTCCTCATGCAGGAACACTTGAAGATATTTCCTGGCATACAGCAAGGGCTCTACAAATCTTCATGGTCATGGTCAACATCGCAACAGTTAACACAGTGCATAGGAAATAAGCCATACCCTTGACTTAGCTGTAAGCCCACTTCTTCTACAAATGAAAATGACACCTATCTGTTTAGTGTGGAAGCTCTCTGTCCCACCCATAGGGGACTCTGCACATAGTCAGGTGCACAATTCTCTAGGAATTGTGTTCAATGTTGGAAGAGATTTCTAGTTCCGCAATGGGGTAGCGCTGAAGTGGCGGCTCACTTTAGGGGCCATGGAGCTAAAGGGTTTGCTTTGTCTGTGTCTGACAGTCTAGCAGTCAATCAGCAGAGCTGAGGTGTGCACAAAAATGCTTAACACCTGCTTTTAGGCCTGGGGAGTAAGACTCGGCTGTCCTTAATGGGCTTAGAAGTTCAGAGGATTTCAACAGCTCCGTGGTTTGAAATGACTCTGTTTACCTCCACCCTTCAGTGACGGCACCTTCAGTAAATGTCAGTGGAAAAGAAGTTAAATAGAATTGTGAGAGGTGCATTGTGGGAAGGAGAGGGGCAGAGAGAGCAGGATGGGAGCCTGGGTGGAGACTGCCCCATGTCTCCACTGCAGGACAGACTTACTTCTTCAGGGTCTGAAAGCCACGCTCTTTGAACTGTAGCTCATGCTGAAGGTGGACCATCTCTCTCTTCAACTTGTTGACCTGGATGGTAGAGGACCACACAGAGGATGAAGTCAGAGGCAGATGTGGAGCTGTAGGCTGGGGAGTCCAGAAGCCCCTGACTGTACTGCTACTGCATAAGGAGCCACCCACATCCCTTGGGCACCCTCCCTTCACCCGGGTGGGTCTGGGAGTCAGCACCCCAGCCAGTGTCCCTGTGGGTGCTGCCACCCAGTCTCTATACCAGGGAAACAGGAAGGAATCAGACACTGACTGATTGACAGCCCCCCCCCCACTTCCTAGCTATAAGATCTCTCTTGCACCACTGACCCCTTCTCACCTCTTCTTGCCTATTGTGATGGATGAGGATGACAGTAATTACCTGGGTCACACACAGCTTAAAGCTGGTGATGAGTTTGAGAGCGCTTTGCATGAAGGTGAGAGGCAAGACACCACCAAAAGCCAGATCCCACTTGCAGGCCGTTTGTGGCCTCCAGAGTGCTGGAAGCCTTTCTCTTTCTCTTCCTCTTCCTCTTCCTCTTCCTTCCTTCCTTCCTTCCTTCCTTTTCCTTCCTTCCTTCCTTTTCCTTCCTTCCTTCCTTCCTTCCTTTCTTTCTTCCTTCCTTCCTTTTCTCTCTCTCTCTCTCTCTCTCTCTCTCTCTCTCTCTGTCTCTCTCTTTCTTTCTTCTTCTTCTTCTTCTTCTTTTTTTTTCTGGAAGCCTTTCAATGAGAGCTACCAATTAAGGTCTAAGAGACTTTATGTACTAAACCTCCATATACTGCTCTTTTCAAAAATACTTGACATCTAGAAACATGGGGCTCAAATTCCAGTGTGGGCGCAGCCTACTAGAGCTGAAAAACTTTAGCCCCTCAGACGTGGCACACCAGCTTATTAGTTCCAAGTATTCCATCCTGCCTCAGGCCACTTCCCCGAGTTATGCTTTTGTATGTGGAAATTATTCGGACTGGCGTGAAACCAGTGTTCAAGATACCCAGTGTGCCGTGAGTGAGACACTTAACCACTCTGCCTTAGTTTCTATTTCAGTACAATGGGGGTAATCACACGTATCCTCCTAAAGTCATGAGGAATGAAGATGATGCAGAGCGGGGCAGCAGCCAGGAGGAGGAAGAGGCCACCAAACTCAGATCTCCACTGAGGACTCTTGTTTCCTCAGGCAAGGTTCTTGGTCTCTGCTTGCTCATCTTTAAAGTGCAGGAGACGGCGATAGTTACTTCCAAGGGACGACGGACGTGCCCAACACTACACCAGGCACAAGGTCAGTGCCTGTATATGGCAACTGTGGCACCATTGTTAATACAACAACCACCGCTACTATTACCCCAGGGGCCTTGTCAGCCCTGGCTGCCACGGCCTGGAGGGTTGGCTAGTTAATGGTCAGCAAGGACGCTGTGAAGATCCTTACCCGGGATTTTGCAGTGGCAATCTCAGCTTTCAGGATCTCAGGGTCATACTTTGAGCTGGACGACGACCCAGAGACCACTGCAGGGAAGAAAGAAGAGAATCTCAGTTGAGGAAGCAACGGCCAAGTTGGCTTACCGAGTCCTCTAAATGAACCCAGAGAGAAAGAACTACAAACGTGAACAGCCTACCTATCCAACAAAGGGGGGTTTGTTAAATATGAGACACAGGAAATGCAGACGACATTGTTGGGTCTCAAACTCCAAGGGGCAGTGCATGTGTGCAGAAGTGACAGGGTTGGCTCAGCTCCCGTTGGACTGTAGGGTTGCTAGTGGATGCTCTTCGCTTTTCTCAGGACCCCGTGAAATGGTAAGACCCGCTTCCCCATCTCCCCTTCCTCTGGCTCCCTCTCTCCACATCCCTATGGTGTGTACCAAGCCAACGCTAACCTCCAGACTCCTCCTGCCTCTCCTCGTGTACTCGTTTATGTATCTCAAAGCCCATGCTAGCCTTCTGGCCCTTCTCACCCCCTCTCCTATGCCAACTCCCAGGCTGTTTCGGATTGCAGCTCACTTCCCACTCTCTTTATAACAACAGGTTTTCCCCTGCCCCTGGCTGTTCGCTGTTCTCGTTTCTCTCATAGATAGCCCTGGCCATGTCCAGTCCGCTTCGCTTCCCTTTTGCTTCTGGATGGTCTTTCTCTCTTATCTACAATAAAAACCTTCCTCCCAACTCAGGGAGCGGCCATTTTCTGGTGTCTTTACCACACCCTTGCTTACAGATATGACTTGTGCCATTTAAAACCATGACGTAGCTTTCTGATTCGCCATCTGTGGTGGAACCGCCGCCAAGATGCAGATTTTCATGAAGACCCTTACGGGGAAAGCCATCACGCTCGAGGCTGAACCCTCGGACACTATAGAAAATGTAAAGGCCAAGATCCAGGATAAGGAAGATCCTCCTGATCAGCAGAGGCTGATCTTCGCTGGTAAGCAACTGGAAGATGGCCGTCCTTTGTCTGACTACAATATTCAAAAGGAGTCCACCCTTCATCTTGTGTTGAGACTTCGTGGTGGTGCTAAAAAAAGAAAGCAGTCTCACACCACTCCCAAGAAGAATAAGCATCAGAGGAAGACGGTTAAGCTGGCTGTACTAAAGTACCATAAGGTGGATGAAAATGGCAAAATTAGCCGTCTTCGTCGAGAGTGTCCTTCTGATGAGGGTGGTGCTGGAGTTTTCATGGCTAGCCACTTTGACAGACATTACTGTGGCAAGTGTTGTCTGACTTACTACTTCAACAAACCAGAAGACAAGTAGTTGTGTGTGGATAAATATAAAGACAGGAACTGAGAAAAAACAACAACAACAACAACAACAACAACAACAACAACAACAACAACAACAAAAAACATGATGTAGGGCCTGGAGAGATGGCTCAGCGGTTAAGAGCACCGACTGCTCTTCCAGAGGTCCTGAGTTCAATTCCCAGTACCCACATGGTGGCTCACAGCCATCTGTAATGAGATCTGGCACCCTCTTCTGTATACATAATAAATAAATAAATCTTTAAAAAAAAAAAAAGAAAAAAAAAAAACCCATGATGCAGAAAACCACAGAGTGAAATGGGAAAGTGTCGACACACGGTTCCATGACGCCCAAATGACAAAGTGTATGGAAAAGTTAAATGAGAGGAGTGTACAGTTTGTAAACACACACACACACACACACACACACACACAGACACACACACACACACCCCTTTAAAAAGACTGGATGTTGGGGACATAGCTCAGCTGCTTATCTGGCATGTGTGAGACCCTCGGTTAACACTGCTGTCTGGAGGGATGGATGACAAAACTAATTTCCACCTTTGTATTTTTTGGTCTTTTTCATATTTTCTAACATGATTTGGTAATAAAGCTGCTAGCATTAATTTTTTATACTAATGTACATTTGAGAAGAAAATAAAGTACCCATAGTCATACTACCCTAGAACAATTATCTTTGTCTTAAGTCATCTAATGCATAGCTGTAGTTCTAGCATGTTAAAACTCAACTGCCTTTTTCTTTTTTTTTCTTTTTTTTTTTTTTTTTTTGGTTTTTCGAGACAGGGTTTCTCTGTGTAGCTTTGCGCCTTTCCTGGAACTCGCTTTGGAGACCAGGCTGGCCTCAAACTCACAGAGATCCGCCTGGCTCTGCCTCCCGAGTGCTGGGATTAAAGGCGTGCGCCACCACTGCCGGCTCTCAACTGCCTTTTAATGGCATTTATGTCATTGTGGCTTATGGAAATGAACACAATACAGTGTGATGTACTTCAAGGAAGAAAACGAGACAAAGAGAAATCACTGCATGCCACAGGCTCCCTAACTCAACCGGAGTCACCACAGGCCTGGCTCTGAGCATCCTGACAGGTGAGGTAAAAAGGGAAACATGTCTAGATATGAGACTCAATCATGCTCTAAATAAACACACTCCCCCACTGTTAAACAGGTTTTCTGGGTAAGGAAGGTATTTCTTGAGTGTCCTCAAATCACACTGGATGGGCTAGCTCATCCCCCGTCCCGCTCTTGGTGATCTGGACACTGCAGTGAGAACCCAAGCTGAGGCCAGGCTTTCGTGGAAGACATCCACGGTATTTTCAGCATCTGACAGTGATGGAGGGAGAAGCTGCTGTTTGGATTTCGTTAAAATAGTTTAGCGGGGCTTTGAATTACGTACGAGGGAGGTTCAAGTTTGGGAAATGAGAAAAACGACTCCATACAATGACAGTTGAGGCAGCAAAGCACTTCAGCACAAGTCACAGTGACGACCAGGGTGATGGGGTCTGGGCTTTACTGGAAGAGACAAGCAGAGCCAAGGTGGTGACAAGAGAGCTTTTGTGGCCTTTTTCTGGGGGCACGGAACAAGGACTCAGGTGCTCAGGATGTTTCACTGACAGTGTGAGGTTGTCGACTCCTGCATTCTAATTCTTCTAGTCTTCAGTGGGGTTGGAGTCGCTGGGATGAACCTGGCTGGATACAGAGCTGGAAAATGGCTTGAGCATATTCTCCGAAGAGGTACTTCCCAGCATTTTAAAGTGGTTCACGTGATCTCTTATCCATGGTGGATAGTAAGAACATGATGAAAAGCCTAGATTAGTTATCAGTGTGGGAAATAAGATGGAGATGTATGTGGAAAGGTCACCAGAGGGGGCTGCCTATTCTAAGCACCACATCCTACCACCACCTCCACTTCCCATCATGCATCGGTGCTGCTGGGGACAGTACTCCACTATGGGGAGACATTAAGGAGAGTGGTTAGGGTCTGAAGACATGTCGGAAGTGGCAATTCCTGACCCAGGCTGGGCAAAGGTAGTTCTGGGTAAGTCCTTGTGAAAATACATTAGCATCCCTTGAGCATGCTCAGAAATTCTGGAAGCAAAGGAAGCCAAAAAAAAAAAAAAAAATTCCTACCAAGGGGGCTGTCAGAGACTTGAATTCCTACTCAATGGAGAATTCTTATGAAATGCACAATTTATTCACAAAGCTGCTAAAATAGAATACAGCCTGGTGCATATTTTTTAGGTAAAATTTTCGCTGAAGTTTTCTTTTTCTTTTTAAAGAGACTTCCATAAGCCAGGTATGGTAAAACAAAACAAAACAAAAAAACAAAACAAAACAACAACAACAAAAAAACCTGTATCATTTCAGCACTCAGGAGCCCGAGGCAAGAGGAATTCTGGGAGTTCAGGGCAATCCTGGGCTACACTCTGCATTATCCAATCCACTTGCTTGGAGTAAGGTGCTATGCTTTCTGCCAGTAAGCATTCTGGTTCCTCATTACCTGGGAGGGGGTATGCACAGCCAGCACCCATGGGCTCCCACATCATGCTACTCCAGCCCTCTTCACCCCTCTCTTGTCTCCCCCATCTCAGGTCTCCCTTTCTGGGCCACCTCCATGACACTGCTAGAACTTCACTTGTATTGGCTTCCTGGGAAAGGAGACAGGAAGGAAGCAAAAGTTTTGAAAATCCCACATGTCTCAAAATATCTTTATTCTACACTATATTTAAAGATAGCTTCACAGCTACGGAGTTTCGGATCGGAACTGCCTTTCTGGAGAAAGGAGAAGGTATTGCTCCTCTCTAGTTCTGTGCGGCTGGCGAGCGAAGTCTGGCGTACCCTGAGTCCTGACCATTTCCATGTAACCTGGTCTTTCTGGATGCCTGTAGGATGTTGCACTGTTCCTGGGGTCTGAAACCTCCCAGTGGTGGATGCGTGTCTGCTGACTCTCATCTACTGTGTTGCGCACTTGGTGAAGCTTTTCGGTGTAAAAACCGTCTTCCAGGGCTGGGAAATGTGGCTGAGTTATTTCATGGAGGCTTCTTCCTCTGTTTCCTCAGTTCCCTCAGATCCGTTTTGATCTGGAACAGGCTTTCTGCACCATGGCTTTGTTTCCCCTCTCCTTGCCAATCTCACTGTATTTTGGCTCCGCTTCCTAGAAGATTTCCTCAGCTGTATTTTCCAATCTTCCAATATAACTGTTATGTCTCATGTTTTGACTTCTGAAACGTCACGTGGGCCTTGGAAGTCTCCTTGGTTTGGAATACAGCCCCCTAGTCTTGCCTCGTGGCTGTGCAGCCTTCTGCCGGGATTTTCTTCTCATGAGTACTTTCTGCCCTCCAGCCTCTCCAAGTGTGGTCAGTCTCTATTTCCTTGGTTACAGGACACCTGGAGTCTTGGCTGCTGCACGGGCAAAGAATGGAGGCTGATCTACCGGTTTGTGCACTGCGGGGTCCATGACGGTTCGCTATCTCACTCAGGAACCCTCAACATCGACGCCTTTTAATTTTACTCTCTCTTTACATCTCTCTTCTGCCCAGGTCTCCCAGAGTCCTATCCAGCCTAGTGGGTGATGGCCTGCCACCATTCTGGGCCACCAAATGAAACACGAGGGTTGAGGTCTCCAAAGCCCATGTCCATGGTCAAATAATAAATACATTTTAGCGGGGTCTGTCCTGGCTTTGAACTTGCCTGGTATCCTCTAATCCTCCAGTCCAGAGACTCCAGTGCATACCTTTAGTCTTTTGCCAGGTTAGAGATGGGTAATCCCTTGGCTGTACCGATATGGGATGTGGTCTGGTCTGCCTCAGACAACCCTTTGAGGTGCTCTTCTCTTCATTTCCAGAGAGAGCTGCTGCCGGGTCAAACTCTAAAGCTACAGAAGGGTAGAGCTGTCAGTTTCCCCCAATTCTGTCCTTTTTCCCTTTCCTGAGGCTGTCCAAGTAGGTGTCCATCTGCTTTGTAGCCTCCAGATCTTATTGTGGCAGTTACAAAACAAAACAAAACCCACCATGACCCAGAAACCTGGGGAGGAAAAGGTTTACTTCCTCTTATAACTTATAGGGCACCATCCAGGGATGTCGGGGCAGGAATACACAGAGCTGATGCAGAGGCCATAGAGGAATTATCCTAACTGGCTTGCTCAGCCTGCTTTCTTACAGAACCCAGGGCCACCAGCATAGAGGTGGCACTAATGACTCATTAGGAAAATGCCCTACAGGCTTGCCTGCAGCCCGATCTTATGGCAGCATTTTTCTCAATTGAGGTTCCCTCCTCACAGATGACTCTAGCTGACATAAAACTAGCCAGCACACTCGGATTGTGAAGCATGTCGGCCCGTACTTTACATGCTGAGCTCTCTCAGTCCTCCTGCTGGTATTTTTTTTTTTTTTTTTTTTGCACCAATAATTTATTTTTCAGTTGGGACATCAAAGTCTGGAGAGGGGATGAAGCATAGCAAGGCTCCAAAGAGTCTTCACCTGTTTCAAGCTGGGAGGAACCAGATGTAGGCTAGAAACTTTGACATGTGACTTGTCAACTTGGATTAAATGAAGGGAATCAAGGTTTTGAGACCAGACCTGCCTGGGTATCAAAGCACCTGCTACTTTTCAGTGGTGTGATTCTGGAGGAGGCCACTTGCCACTCAGTTTCCTTGCCTGTAGAATAGGAATAATGCTATCTGGTAAAGGGAACTGCTGCGGAGGGGCTAGCCTACTGCTCTCAAGGCATACAGCAGGCACACATTAAATGTTGGTTTCTTTCTCCCTCCCCATGGGACTAGAGACTACACCAGAGAGATGATGAGAAGTCTATCCCGGGGTATGGCTCCACCTGTGACTGGCACTCACAACAGTCGAGGCCAAATGGTGAAATCTTCACAGGCCCCAACAGGCCATCTGAGTTAGAGGACAGGCATGTGGTCTCACCACTCTGTCACACAGGAAAAGTTGACTTGGAAATCAAACTTGACTTATCAAACCGAAAAGAAGACCAAGAGGAGGCTGTGGCCACACCTCCTTTAACTGGGATCTGGGTCTCAGATCTAGGTGCCTGACTGACCCCATGGAAGTGGCCTTTGAGGTTGGTGCAGCTCGTGGGGGATGTCTGAAAGTCACACTAACGGGCAGAAGAACCGCATCACTTACTTCCTGCCTTTTGCCGAGTATTTATAGGCAGAGCATTCCTAT